AGACTGAAAAAGGGAGGGAAGTAAGAAACAGACATAAAGAAAGAAGAAAGAGAGAAAATCTCCCACGTTTTCTCTTGTTCATTTGACGATCCCTCATCTTTACGTATGAGTCTCTGAGAAATTGCAAATGAGCCTGTGAGGTGTGTAAAAACCAGCCGAACATAATTCACCAGTGAAGTGAGGTTTCTGTGCTGCACTGGTAAGTGATGACCACTGGTTTCTAAACAGTTGATCATTAAAATACTTTTGATCTAGGGCTCCCGAGTGGCGCAACCGTCTAAGCGTTGGCCCTATCATCAGGAGATCACGAGTTCGATCCCTGGTGATGCTACAGCCATCCGTAGCCGGGAGAGCACAATTGGCCTCGCTCTCTCTGGGTGGGTAGGATGGCCCCTCCTTCTCCCCCCATCACTCAGCGCGATGCTAGTTGGCGCAGGCGTCTGTTAGCTGATGTAACAGATCTGGCGGTTGGCGCTTTCCTCCGAGCGCGTTCGGCTGTCCAGTGACGTTGCGTGAGCGGCAGTTCGAAAAGAAGCGGTGGCTGGTTTCACAGGTCTCGGAGGAAGCCTGTGTTAGCCTTCACCCTCCTAGCGTTGATAGCATCGTGTGATTGGGGGAGTCCTAACTAGCGGGTGGAATTGGAAACGACTAAATTGGGGAGATAATTGGGTAATACATATATTTTGATCTCATAATTAAACAATCAGAAGCCCAGTTCCACTAATGCTATTATGACCTCATAATAAACCAATCAGAAATCTTTATTATGTAGCATTCCAATCACAACAACATCAAAAAGAATGAATGGCTGGGTTGTTTAACCCCCAAGTTAATTCAATTAATGTATGTGTTTATGGTCCTTTCTACAGCAGCCATTGCCCCAAAGCAGCTTGTGGGTGTCCAGAAATGTGGGTGCGGCCCCCTAATGAGTAATAAGGAAGCAGCAGCAGGAAAAAAGTCTAGAATGTAAAAGACTGTCCTTTAAATTCATTTGATCTGAAAATAATAAATCAGTCTGAACACTTTGCTATGTAACATTCCAACAAAACAACATTCAAAGAATGAATGTTTGGGCTGTTAAACCTGCCATTGTGATCATAGTTCAGTGCAGTTTCGTTTTATTTTCATGGTCCTTTCTTTAATAGCCTTGGTCACAAAGCAGCGTTTTGGTGCCCAGAAATGTGGGTGCAGCCCACTAATAAGCATTGTCAAAGGATACAGCGGCAGTGGCTGCTGCATCTGCCATCACTCAGTGTCCACAGTTTTACTTGTATGCCACTTTCTACAATAGCCATCGTTCCGAGGCAGCTTGTCGGTGCCCAGAAATGTGGGTGCAGCCTACTAATGAGTGTCGCCAAGGGGGATGGTGGCAGGAAAAAACTAGCACATAAAAGGAATTTACACACCAAGCGTGATGTATTTGTGTGATTTATTCAGAAGACAATACATTAATTTGATTACATGTAAAACTGAGGGTGTCACGCACACCAAATGAGATTTTTCTAACAGTAAAAATGAGACTTTATTTCATTCAGCCTCTGTTTGATTTTTGCAAACTTCCGCCAAACTCTCATGAACTCTCTGACCACTCACGGTCGTTTTTGATGCTGGTATGGCAACCACGAAGATGACAGATTGGCTCTGTTCCATCAAATGGAACTTCTTCACAAATGTAAAAAAAAATCAGAATCTAGAAAAGCAGTGGAAACAAGGCTCAGACTGGGCTTTGTGTTACAGCCTCTTTGGAAGCCCTCAAAGTTTCAGCTTCTGAATGAAGTGCTCTCCACACCACTTTCACTTTTCCAGAAGGCACCACTTGTCCTTATTGTGAGGAACAAAGGAGATATTATGTGCGCTTGAAGAAATTCGGCCTGCACGTTTTGTGCTTTGTCTCGTGTGGAGCTTCATCTCCAAATCAGCTCAGAGTTATGGGGGTTCAAGCTGTGTGTGAAAGAGTTCATAAAGTTCCTGAATGAGGTGGTAAACTCTCCTTTCTCCTTTCGCTTTCCCAAGGTGGAAAGCATCATGCACAGATTCACAGTGTCACAGTTCGGCCTTTTCATGAGATGCAAAGGACTTTCTACAACCAACAATGCAACCAATCATCACGTTGTGGCTGGTGTCTAAAGTTTTAATATGAAGTGAAATTTTATGCGTTGTTGTGTTTACTTGCATCATGTTTGGTGTGTAACAGCCTTTGATCCTTGACAGTTACACAATCAGAGCTCTTGCTACGTGGATGCGTTATGACTTCATAATAACCCATCAGAATGTTATTTAACATTCCAATCACAGTAAAAAACAACAAATGTCTGGGCTGTTAAACCTGCTGTTACTCAGTAGTCATAGTTGAATTCAGGTCAGTTTTATTTGTGCGGCATTTTCTACAGCAGTCATTGTCCCAAAGCAGATTTCCTGGAAAACTGTTCCAGTCCTCTAATGAGCACTGCATAGGGAGCCAGTGCCAAGAAAAACTTCCTAAGAGCATGAGTAAGAAACCGTGAGATGAACCACGACAAGAAAGAAGCACTGAGGAACCAAGAGGAGAGAAAACAAGATTTAAAAGGGGAACCAATCTTCCTCTGGGCCACACCAGAATCCTAAAGTCCTTTACACAGCAAATACAATTTACTTGTGAGATCTATTAATTTGCGCACTTGTATAAATGGCGATATCTTGCACACTAAATGCGATTTTCCAGATGACGAAAATGCTTTCGCAGCCAGCAAGCACTCACTGACCAATCAGAGTCATCCCTGTTGTAGCCAGGACAGCAATTAAGATGATGGAGCAGCTGTGTTCCAGCAAAGAGAACATCAGGAGGATCCAAATCTCCAAAAGCAGCTCAACTGAGCTACAAACAAAGAGTTAAATGTGGAAGAACTGAATGTTTCAGCTTCTGAATGAAGTGACGAAGCTCTTCATGCTACTTTCCCTTTTCCAAAAAGCACAGTAGTGCAGTGTCACCATCTGTCTGTTCTCTGGGAAGCAAAGAATCGTAGCTTATTTGCACTTAAAGACATTCAGCCTGTTTATTTCATGCTTCATCTTGTGTGGAGCGGCATCTCCAAAATCACCTCAAACTCAGCTGAGATCCCAGCTGCAAGTGAAAGAACTTCGCTCCTTAAATGAGGTGGAGAAACTCTATGTTCTTCTCTTCCATTTGCGAGGTTACGCACTGATGTTGGACGAGAAGGCCTGGCTCGCAAAGGACTTTCCAATTCATCCAAAAAATGGGGTTGAGGTCAGGGCTCTGTGCAGGCCACTGGAGTTCCTCCACACCAAAATCATCAAACCATGTATTTATGGACCTCGCTTTGTGGGGCTCAGTCATGATGGAACAGGAAAGGGTCTTTCCCTTACTGTTGCCTCAAAGTTGGAAACATATAATTATCTAAAATGACTTTGTGCTGTAGCATTAACATCACCCTTCACTGGAACTAAGGGGCCCAAAACAGCCCCAGCCCATTATCCCTCCTCCACCAAACTTTATAGTTGGCACTGTGCATTCCTGTATGTAGCCTTTTCCTGGTATCTACCAAGCCTAGATTAATCTTTTAGACTGTCAGATACTAAAGCGTGATTCGTCACTCCAGAGAGAGCATTTTCACTGCTCCAGAGTCTGATGGCAACATACTTCACACCGCTCCAGCCGACACTTGGCATTGTGCATAGTGAACTCATTTCATGAAGCTCCTGACACACCGTTCTGTGTTGCTTTCAGAGGCAGTTTGGAGGATTGGTGATTTTTATGCACTATAGGCTTCAGCGGTAGCCCCCTCTGAGAGTTTGAGTGGTCTACCGCTTTGTGGCTCAGCTGTTGTTGCTCCAAAATGCTTCTATTTCAGAAAAATACACCTGTTAACAATGGGTGTGGAGGAAACACCTGAACTTAATAATTAGGAGGGGTGTCCACGTACATTTGGCCATATAGTGGCTATATATTGTCGTCTTCTCTTCTCTATTGTTTTGTGCATGTCATGTTGTGTTGGGGCACAGGGAACCAGCCTTGTCGCCGGTTTGATTCCCTGAGCTGACAGTACGAGACTGAAGTGCCCTTGAGCAAGACACCTAACCCCCAACTGCTCCCCGGGCGCTGTGGACAGGGCTGCCCACCACTCCGGGCAAGTGTGCTCACTGCCCCTTTAGTGTGTATGTGGTGTTTCACTGCACGGATGGGTCCAATGCAGAGGTGAAAGGGTAATAAGGGTCACTTAACTTAAAGACAACTTAATGGCATGTTGTGTATATGACAAATAAACTTTGAGTAATGACCAATGTATGGACATAACCGGAACTTCAAATTCAAATCATAATAAAATATCTCCTCTTCCAATAACTGACACAATTGTGCTATGGATTAAAATTTCTACACTTTGCTCGTTTTAATGCTCTACGTCTGAGAAATAACTGATTGAAATGTAAGGAAAAAAAAATTAAAGCATATTTTGGCACGAGGGACCTTGCAATGTTGAATAAGGTGCTGGTGACATACAGAGGAAAGATCTGGAAGACAAACCAGTGACTAATGTTAAAGTCTGTCAGAGACCCAGTGGACTGCTGATTGTATCAGATTGCATACAGTTCTTGAGAAAGAGCTCAGTGACAGCAGAGAATAAATCTACTGCAATGACGACACAGCACTGTTCTCCACTGGAGCGATACGTGACCACATCGTGCTTCACTGTAATTTCAATCCATAGCCCACCTCATGCTATTAACAGGCTTATAGAGTTCTTTCCTGTCGCACGGACGGCGCCCATGCACGCGCGGCTCCGTCCGCACAGAGCCGCAGAAATATTACCGGTGCGAAAAATCCAATTTCGAATTCATATAGTGCGTTGGGGGGAAGCATATGCTACAGCGATGCTTCACAGGTGGCTCTCTTGTCATTTCAAAAATACAGGAAGAGGACTAAGAAAAAAAAAACAGAACTTTCTCCTGCACACCATCCCCGAACCCCCCTCTCAGTCAACAGCCCCCGAGGTGTCCATACTTACTGTTTTGATTCTGTGTGTTTTTCATCATGCTTGGGTTTTCTGCAGAACAGGAAAGGAAGAAGAGAGAGAGAGAGAGAGAGAGAGAGAGAGAGAGAGAGAGAGAGAGAGAGAGAGAGATATGTTAGAGGTTGGAATAAGACAGAGCTGTCGTGTTGGTTGGCCGTTACATAACAACGTTACACTGTGGTGATAACAAATGTGCGACGGGAACATAAAACTTTTTTCGGCTATGGGCAGCAAAACTTCAGTAACTCAAGCTGGCGAAGTACCACCTGCTTTACATGAACAGTTTGGTGAAAAATCATATTTATACAGAGCCCTGCTGGTGACATCGCGTATTAATAAAAATAACGCCAGGCCACGCCGCATTGACGGGTGGGAATGAAATCCTAATGTGTGACCATGACTTAGTAAGGCATGGGAATGAGATAATTACATCAAAACCATGAGTTAGTAAAGCATGGGAATGAGATAATTACACCAAAACCATGAGTTAGTAAAGCATGGGAATGAGATAATTACATCGTGATCATGACTTAGTACGGCACGGAAATGACATAATTACATTGTGGCCATGACTTAGTAAGGTGTAGGAACATGAAGTCATGGCCATGACTTAGTAAGGCATGGGAATGAGATAATTATATCGTGATCATGACATAGTAAGGCATGGGAATGAGATAATTATATCGTGATCATGACATAGTAAGGCATGGGAATGAGATAATTACATTGTGACCACGACTTAGTAAGGTGTAGGAACATGAAGTCATGGCCATGGCTTAGTAAGTCATGGGAACGAGATAATTACATTGTGGCTATGACTTAGTAAGGCATGAGAACAAGATAATTATGTCATGGCCACAACTTAGTAGGCATCGTGGCCATGACTTACTAAGGCATGGGAGCAAGATAATTACATCACGGCCATGACATAGTAAGGGAACAAGATCATGCCTTATTAAGATGCTGTTGTAGCCACAATGAAATTATCTTGTTCCCATACCTTACTAAGTCATGGCCACACATTAGGATCTCGTTTCTATGCCTTAACCGATCGTGGCCACACATTATTTATACAGGATGTCACCAGTGGGAATCCATATAATTAGACCACAGTAGGGCCCAATATTATAATAATTTCCCAAAAATGCCATAAAGAATCTATACACCTAGTTTCAAAGGTATTTTATCCTAATCTGCCTAGTAAATAATAAAATTAATCGAAATTTTCACTTAACTTGGTCAAAAATGTAATAAAACCCAAGAATGTAAAATCCAACAGTGCCCAATGTCTGATAATGACTGATAATGTACTAATATTTTTACCAACAAGGTAAAACTTTATCACATTATTGGAAATGTGTTATATTGGAAAGTTGACCATTTTTGCAGGAAGTTTAAATAGATTATGTAATACTTTTAAATCACCAAGGATCCAAAGATGTTTGAAAACAGCAAGGATAACAATTATTTTAATAAACGTCCACTTAAAATACTGACATGACTTTCGTTTTTATTTCATGGGAATCAGAAGACCCTGAGGGCGCCCTCTGCATGCCATTATCTGTAGATCCTAATGAAGCCAATTTTGACAGCAAACATGTCTTGGCTTGACATTTGGGGTGAAAGAGGGAACCGAACTGTCCCTTTAAGCTGCACCTTTCGCCCTTTCAGCACAGCTACACTCATACAACATGAGCGAAGGATCATCCAGCACGTTATTAATCTCTCCACCGATTCCGCAGTGGACATCTATTACTGCGGCTCAAAGCTGGGAGCTCCTTTCTCTCACACAACTAATGTACGTTCTTCATTACAGTCACTGACGTCTAATGAAGGGGCTGAGCGAGGAGGCCCATTTTCAGTCATCCAGCCGAGCGGCGTCACCGGTTCGTTCCAAGGCCAGGGGGAAAAGTCCAAGGCCACTCCATCAGCTTCAGACTCAGACACAGACTGATAGCCTACAATCTGCAGGGGGGCAGAGGATGCCATGGGGCGCGGCGGGCCGTTAAATGGACATTAATGCTCTTTTTTTTTGCCCAATCTGTCCCCTCAGACAGCACCTTCCCCAGAGTGTCACTTCCTGCCAAATGGCTTCACCACCCCACCCCCCCTTCCCCCAACAATTGGTCCGCCCAACGATTTGTAAATTTTCAGGAGATCTTAATGAGGAGATGGCAGCGAGGCGATTCGTCAAGTGATGGACTGCCTGTCTTCCCTTCCATTACGGCTCTGGAGCGGGAGGGAACGAAGGCAGACGATTCTTTTTCTCACCTCTCGCTAAATGAAGCTTCAGCGCTTCACTGACTGCTTTGTGCATCTTTTTTTTTTTTTACATTACAAATCTGCTTTGTGTGCCGTATTTAGAAACGGAGATGGTGTTGTGGGTGTTTCGCGTGTGCCGCAAAACGCTCAGGGAAAAAAGGAAGAGCAAAAATAGACAACATAAAGAGAGAGTATGTGTGTGGGTATATGTGCTTGACTGCTCTCAGCTTGCCGTTGATGTGAATGGCTGTGGCTGTCTCTGGGATTATTCAGTAAAAGACAGAATGTCCTTCATCTCCTAAAGAGCCTCTTTGATTAGATCTGCTGCTCCACTATAGGCAGATTTCTCATAAGACCCAGAGCTCAGAGGGAAAATTGGTGCAGGGCAGTGAGATCTACAGACGCAACAGAGTCGGGGAACAATCTGGCCCTGCATCAGTTTAAGAAAAAAGGCAGAAGAAGAAGAAGCTTAGCAGACACAGTATGCCTAGAGAGGCACTGTTGACTCAGTGGAAATATTAAAAAATATATCTCAACAATGCTAAAGATATGTCACTTGATAATCGTTAACCAAAGTTACTTTTGGGCAAGAAGTATAACCATAAACTAATCTGCCTGATCAGGACTGTGTAGCCATTTCAAATTGCATGATGACTGACAGCAGTGTAACCATGGCAACAAAAATAACCCCACAGCCCTAACACAAGTAGGAATTTACATGTAATTTACATTACATTTACATATTTGGCGGACACTTTTATCCAGGGCGACTTGATCACATTGCAGATGTTGGCGAATGGAACATTAGGAGTCTTGCCCAAGGACTATTATAGGCTCCCACTGGGGTGGGGTGGCAGATGTTTATCGAACCCCAGTCTACAGCACTGAGGGCTGAGTTATTACAAAGTAAACCAACTGATATAAAACTTTGACATTTTAAACTTTAATGAACTTTTAATTGTTCATGTTAGTTATTACTTAGTTACTGTGTAATTCTTTAGTAATTAGTAATTAAGTGCACTGCTAGTTCATACCTTATTTGCTCCTCTGTGCACTAACTACTGCTTATTACACAGCTAATAAACTGAAAAGTGTGTTTACTCATGTAAGGAAGTAACGTAAGCACTAATTAGTACTTTTGAGATCGTCCCACAGTCCTGTTAATTGTCAGTCAATTAGTCTACCAATTTATTGTAATTAATTACTAATAATCCTTACTTCTAAATGTCCTACGAACTAATGATTAAGACTAGACTACTTACTGAAATCTCAAATTCTCTCTGCTTGTTTCTGTGTCCCCTCAAGTCACATTTCTAAATGATTCTACACAATAAACCAGACAGGAATCGAAACCATTTTTAATTAAATTGAGTCCTTCACACTTCGCACATCTCATTAAATTAAAGGCTCTTTAGAGGTCTGAGAGTGGGTATTCCATTGGTGTTGCTCCAAAATGAACCCTTGTGGCAACTTAAAATACATAATAATTAGTTTATAAGATAACAGCATGTTAGATACTGACATTGGGTGTGTCTCAAAACCTAGTGAGCTCTACATAGACAGCATTTTACGTCACAATATGCGCTTCCGACAAGAAGGCTGTTCCAATTCTTAGATATCTCAAATATGCTGCCTACTGAGGTCTCATTTTGGCTAAATATCAAGAGAGCATCGGATGTTTCCCACGATGCAGAGCGGCGCAACTTTTGACGTCATCTTCAAATGTAAGTTATTCTGATTTTCTGAGGTATTTATCTGTTTTCCAGTCATAAAGGTTCACAAATAGCCTATACTTTCCGCGTTTGACCACAACTATTGTCTATTTTACTGTTTCATTCAGAGCAAATACAATTAAAATCGCTATATAAGCTGCCAGAGCAGATCCATGTTGGCTTATTGTGATTCTGACGGCTGAGGTAAGTAAACGCCGGTCTCGTGCAGTGGGCGGGAACAAGCGGCGACGTCACTGCTGTCTAACTAGAGGGTCTCATTTATCTGCCTTATAAGGATAGATGACGGTTGGAACGCTGCCTACTTAGACAGCTGCCTAGGTGGACAGCGGCTACTTAGAGAGCTCACTAGGTTTTGAGACACACCCAATATGTGCACATTTCACTCTGTTGCTTATAAGAGGAAGTGTCTACATGTGTTTTTGAATAAGTGGCCTTTGTTTTAGGCCTAGCAAGTATGTCATTTTGCTGAAGATGAGACACCAAGTGTCACACCTGCTATTTTAAAAATGGCATATTTGGCTGTTATTTGCCCATTAAGGTTTAGGAACGCCTTCCAACAGAGGGTTTCTACTGTGATTCACAGTGAAGTGCGTATAGGCTTCTCTTAATCAATAAATTTGTAGTATAATTAGAATGTTAGTTGGAGGGACACAAAGTATTAAGAATAGCTTCTGGAAAATGTAATGATAATTACATTACAGTAGACTGATTGATGAATAATAAACAGCAATAACGCATAAGTGCAAGCACACTTATCAGTACATTATCAGTATAATAAGTAGCAGTTTGTACACAGTTAATGAGTAAATATGCTATGAAATAATAAACGAAACTATCAGTAAACTATGAAATCAATTACACATTTCTAGGCACACATTCAGTTACTAAGTAATAACTAATGCTTAACATGAACAATGTAAATGTATAGAAATGTAAAAAGTATAGAAATGCTGAGTAGTTAATGACTTGTAAACATAATCCTTAATTTGCAACCCTTAATGTAAAGTGTTACCCCAACTGCTTTTCAGCCACAGCATCTGTCAAACACCATTAGCTTTTTCTAAACTATAACATCACGGCTTGGTGGTTTTTCATAATCCATCAATTCTATCTATCCTTCTATTGTTAACATCAATAGAAGGTGACAGCTGATAAAATTAAGAATTAAAGAGTTAATTGTGGAAATGCTTGCTAGCTCGCTCACTGGTGGCCGGGAAGGCAACACGATACAGCAAGAATCTCTCAATCAGCATAACCAATGTTGTTCTTTACTTGACCATCAGTAGTAAATTCATGCAGGACTCTACAGCTAACAGCAAAAAAACAGACAGAGGAAATACACTGACAGCCCTGACAATAACAGGAGAACAGACGACACTATTAATTTTAATATTTACTATGCAGATTAGGATAAAATACCTTTAAAACTATGACTATAGATTCTTTATGGCGTGTTATTTGTTGTCCTTCACCAGTGGGTTTTGTCCAACAATCAACAGGTATGTGCGACTGATCAGTGAGAAACTCGGTAAAGACGTATTCAGCTACTAAGGAATTCCTTTTTTTATTAATGAAACTAATTTCAGTAATGAAATATACATTTAAGCCTAAGAGGGAAAGTGGTTAAGTAATCTAAGTAGTTTTTCATTAAATAACACCATCGTCCACTGAATTAAAGATCAATCAGAGGGATTTAGAGAAAACTGAAGTGGGAAAGTGAATCTCATAATGTGGATTCATTTATAAGGGCTCAGGTGTAGCTGAAGCAATTTGCAAAACCACTTTGTTAGAACTACAGATTTAGGACTCTATTTAAGGACGAGACACTTTTGGCAGGGGTGCACTGATATTCTGTTTGTATTTACATTTTGCACAGCGTCCCAGCTTTTTTTGGCAGTAAGGTTGTGAATATATTATAAAGTTTAGTCACAACTTCATAACAGGGATTGAATAAATGATTATTAATGTTCAAAAAAGTATATATTAACCAATTATTGACGAAGTATTTAAGGAAAGGTTTATGGGTTACAGAGCTCTGAAAAAGCTCTCACACTCCTGTGGGGGGAAAAAAAACATGGAGCATTCAACAAGAAAGGAAGCATCAAGAGGGGTAACATTAACGATAAGGCGGGGCTGCATGCGTCGAGACAGGAGAGGGTCAAGCCAAGAATGTTGTGACCACTTTAGATTAGATGCTGCAAAAATATTACAAATAATTTACACATTTGGAAATTATGAATAAATTATGGTTTACATTTTCAAGGTAATGTTAATATATAGATTAATGATGAATAACTGTAAATACCTGATTAGTTAAAGATTAGTTAATCATGAAGTAATAAAATATGTCTTATAAACTAATAATAAATAGATGTAATAATAGATGTTTTATTGTTATTATAAAGTGTTTCCAGTGGCTTTATTTTTTTTTTTTGGGGGGGGGGTGCTGGATAATTACTTGTTACTCATAATGATCAAGAATTGTTTGTATCCAAGTAACTACTTAATATTTCAAGTTGTGTTTTTACAGAGATCAGCATCATTGCTAGAATGAGACGGGTCAACCATCTAAAGATATCCAGTCAAGAGCGGCTCTGTGGTCAGAAACTGAAGGGTAAGGGGATGATAAACACACATTGTGAGTCAACGCATGGGCCACAGTTGTGCACCATTACTCTACACTGTTAGAAATAAAGGTTCTGTTCTGGTACATTTTTGTTCATCAAGGTACAAACAGTGTAAATGTTCCCTCAAAGGTACAACAGTGGTTTTAAGGTCTGATTGAGAACCTTAAATAAGTTTTTCCAGGTGAAAAGTTTGTATTTGTTAATTTTCATAACCGAATGTTTTAAACAGAACAGTAAAATAAACTCACCGAAGACAATGAGGCGCATGTGTGTGTCGGTAGATCCCAGAGGATTCTGGGCTGTGCAGCGGTACATGGAGCCATTAAGTTCAGCAGGGACTCTCTCCAAAACCAGCTCCTTCCCTTCTCTCTCCGTACTGCCGTCCAGTAACCTACCGCCCACTCGCGTCCAGGTGAAGAGGGGTTCAGGGAACACCTCATTCTGTAGGAAAGAGTGTGTGTGTGTGTGTGTGTGTGTGTGTGTATGTGTGTGTGAGACATAGAGCAGAGAGTCAGAAAAGGACTAGAGACCATGCTTCAGTCTGCAGCCAAACATTTCCTGCATGAAGAAATACTTTCAAGATAAAAAGCGTCTAGAGGGACGGAGGCATCCCATAATATCAATAATACAAAGCCGTGTTTCACCACACTTTGGTAACTTAACAGAATGAATAAATCATTTGTTTAATGCTGTTTTTCTCCAAAGGTTCGACATTTTTCAGTTAGCACAGCATTTTTCACCCTCAGTCCTTTTACTGAACTTTAACTTAAGAATTCAATCAATAATCGAGACGTTTCCCCGTAGAGGAAATCAGAGGGAGTCTGCTTATTGTAACTCCATGGCTTCTTTGAGCCCTCCGCCGAGCACATTCTCAAGAATTTACTACGTCTACATGCACACAAACATCAATATTGGTATAAAGCCTGTGATAACAGCGGCCTGATACGTTTACTACATGTCATACTGCACGAGATGCTGCAAATGAAACCTAATTCTGTGGCAGGCAGATATAATTTATGTTCACATGTGCTCAAAGTTACATTATACAATAAAGGTTTTCTACCAATATATCTGCAACACAAGAAAATGACCACTTTCTGCTTGGGTCATCCATCAGCACCTGCTGAAAAATGGGCTCATGCAACCAAAAAAAGTTTTAACCAACATTTTACAAGAACGAGACTTGGAGCTGTTTGTGGCTGAGGGAAAAGAGGGCAACATGGAATGCCCATTCTCCAAAGTGCGCTGAAAGTAGGTAGAGTAATTTTTCTGGCCATTATGTGCTGCCATTTCAAGGCAGGCCACACTGTACGTGAACTAAAGGTTTGGTCAGCCTAACATATGAAAATTACTATTTAATTTGTGAGCAATACAATTTTTATTACATTCTATTGGTTGCTTTTTAATTGGCTGAGAGTACCAGAACTTATAGGCTTATATAATCTTTGGTCACAAAGGTACAAAGCCACAGGCATAAATATGGACTTATACCCTCTCAATAACAGCCTCCACTCTAATGGGAAGGCTTGTTTTAAGATTTTGAACTGTGGAAATTTGTGGCCATTCAATCAAAAGAGCATTTGTGAGGACAGGCAGTGATGTTGGATGAGAAGGCCAGGCTCAAATCGATGTTCCAATTCATCCCAAAGGTGTTCAGCGGGGTTGAGGTCAGGGCTCTGTGCAGGCCACTCATCAAATCATGTCTTTATGGACTTCACTTTGTGAAAAGGGGCTCAGGAAACAGGAAAGTGGCTTTCCCAAACTGTGCCCACAAGGTTGGAAACACATAATTGTCTAAAATATCTTGCGCTATAACATTAACATCACCCTTCACTAGATTCATCCATCAGGCTGCCAGATAGTGAAGCATGATTCATCACTCCAGTCACATTTTACTGCTCCAGAGTCCAGAGGTGGCGCTTTACACCACTCCAGCCGACGCTTGGCATTGCGCATAGAGATCTTAGTCTATTTTACAGCAATATGGCCGTGGAAACCCATTTAATGAAGCTCCCAGTGCAAAGTTCTTGTGCTGAAGTTGCTTCCACTGGCAGTTTGTAACCCTGTAGTGAGTGATGCAACAGAGGATGAGTGATTTTAACACGCTTCAGCTTCAGAGAGCTTGGCAGTGTGTTTGTTTTTTAAAAAGGAAGAAAATTCCTGCCTAAACTTTGTTGCGTCCTGAAGTGGGTGCCTCGCATTGTAGTTAAGTCACGCTGTGCTAGTGTGCATAAAGAGGGCTATTATTAACCTTATCTGTTATACAACTCAAGTAAATGTGTTGGTTCGGTCCAGTTTCACAGCGTTAAAACTATTGTGCACATGTAAATGTAGTTATTGAGAAAAACAGAAGGGTTTTAGTAGCAAAGCAAAGGGGTCCATGAAAGGTTTGGGGGGTTATTCAAAGGTACAGGCAAATCACAACAACTAGACACTTCACACAATGGCAGAGAATATTTATTCTATGCCTTTTACAAAGGGAGATTTGTGAAGCAATGTCTGTGTCTGGAAGCCCCCTAACCAAACCAACAAAAAAAGCGCTATTTTAAGCAAACGGTGTATGTGAGTGTACCGTCTCACCATCTTCTACATTAGGAAGTGTACCTCCACTATACTTTGGATGTTCACTCCCTGGACACTTTGTGAGCTTTACCTAATTTATAGGTCCACTATATACAGGACTGTGCAGAGGTCAGAGACTTACCCTAAAACAACTATGAAGTAATTCATTCTTCAGCTTCAGAAAAGAAACATATTTAACAGAAAATGACACAGAAGCTTCAACAACTACATTAGAACTACAACAACTACTGCTTTAAGTTTTCAGAGAAATCTGCAGAGTTGAGTCTTAGTAGTTAGTTGCACTTTCACGATCCAAATAATCTCAAATACATTTAATAATGTTGAGGTCTGGACTCTGGGGTGGCTATTCCATTGTTTTGAGAACACCAGAAGCTTCATTGTTTGTCTTTTCTAAGTGAGGCTTCTTGACCGCTACACATTCTTTCAGACCCATAGCGCTGAGTCGTCCTCTCACAGTGGAAGGATGCACAGAAACATGGATTCATCTGTCAAATATGAAAGCTTTAAGTACTGTGTATCTGATGGGGACAGTTTTGGTGGTCTAACATGTCTTTCCGAGTCCCAAATTCTTGTTTTTCTCATATATATATTATCAGTTAACTTTCTCTTTACTCCAGTTTTGACTGGAGATTAAATCCATGAAGGGTGGTCTCTGACTTCTGCACAGTCCTGCAGGTGTACAATTAGTGACTGTAGCCCATGTGCTGCTGCAAAGTTTGTCAGCTGGCCTTTACCTCATTCCTCACTGGTCAGTTTCTGACCACAGAACTGAGTGTATTCAGCACAGCAGTGTTGCTGGGATCAGTGACACTGCTGGGTTGAGAGAGTCCACCATCCAAAAATATCCACTGTGACTCTGTGGTCAAGAACCGACCACTAATTAAGGACTAGAACACAAACTGTCTAAACAGATAAGCGACAGTCTCTATCTGTACACCAGCAAGGTGGAGACACAAGGTGTTTCTGCTAAAGTGGCCAGTATGTATCTGCCTTCAAATGTGTTAAAGGTCATAGTAAGATTATTCGTGCCCCTGCGCATGGGGAGCACGATTCAACCTCTGGACATTATGGCCAAATTTCTCTTGCAGCCTTTGCATCTTGAAATCTCTCTTTAGACATGTTGTAATTTTCAGAGATTGAAGAGGATAACTGACTGCAGCAAAGCCTGTGATAAGAACAAGCTGCTTGTGTTCTCTAAGTGATAAGTGACTAGCTATCATCATCCGTCTGGCTCAATAGACTTGTCTGGCCAGGCTCTGTGACCTTTGAAAATGACCGATATAAGAGCATGGCTCAACTACGTGTCGTTGGACTTCCACATTCACACCTTGACAGCAGTGAAATGAGTTTGCGCTTGCTGGTGGCATCAGGTCAGATAAAAAAAGAAAAACATGGTGGAAAGGCTTGATGGAAACCTTTCTGTCACGTATCCCCTTTGGCTTTCACATAAATTGGATTAAGAGATGAGAATAAGTAGAAAATGAATCTGTCAGATAAGTGTCCTACCATCTTCACATACAGACCTGCCGTTAGTGTATAAGGATGCACCAATATGGAGTTTCTGGGCTGATAATGATAACTGATAATTATCCTATCCATGCTCTGCCCATAAATGCGGCCTTTCATAGAAACTGTTGCAAGACTAGTCAAGCTTTACAGCATAACGTTCAGTTTTATTCTCAAGGCCACAGCGTAGCTGCAGGCTTTCCTTCCAGACAAACAGGAGCTCACTTGATTCTTCTTGTAGTTGGTCTCAGTTCTCAAACAACTGATCAGGTGGTGCTCCTGCTTTGTGGGCTGGACTGCTTCACAGAATGTTGATACAAAATCATATTTATCCTAATACGTTTAAGCTGGAATTGACATTTGATTAATGAATCTAAGCAGGTGGAAGTGATAACATATTTGCCACCATGCTTGATCACACAAAAACACTCCTAACAGTGTGATCTTTTATGCACAAATGAAAAAAATCTCTTTTGAAATTAATAACACACTCTAAATGTAGTATTTTGACAAAAACTAAGTTGTGAGAGTTGTGTTTCCCATTGATTTGAATGCGATTTTAGTCCATAATGATCCATAAAGCTTGTAGAACTCTGTAGTAATTGATATGAAAGACCCTAATGGTGGGCAGAGCATGGACAGGTCAAATAACTTTTCATTTTACATTTTTGCTTTTTTATTTTTACTTACTCCTCCCATCACATAATGCTAGTCAGGAGGGTGAAGGCTACCATGTACTTTCTCTGAGACACGTGAAGCTGACCAATGACCTGCCCCTAAAGGTGTCACTGGACAGTTCAACATGCTCGGAGGAGAACGCAAACTGCCGATTGCGCTACTGAAGCTGACAGACGCCTGTGTTGGCAGGTATCGTGCTGGGTGATGGGAGAGAGGGATGGACATCCTACCCATCCAGAGATTGCTGGGACAAACTCCTAATTTCCAGTATTATTTATATGTGAAGTGCAGTGAGTGTAAGTCAGGTTAAAGTTCCAATGACAGTTTTGCATAGCTGTGACCAGAGATGTTCACAAGTAGCTTCATGTGAATCCGAATCAAGTCTCTGTGGTGCCAGTGGAGTCTCGAGTCTCTGAGGTGCGAGTCAGAGTCGAGTCTTGAGTCTCTAAGGTGGAGGTCAGTGTCGAGTCTTGAGTCTCTGAGGTGCAAGTCAGTCTTGAGTCTTGAGTCTCCGGGGTGCAAATTCAAGTCAAGTCTCAAGTCTCTGGAATGTAAGTCAGGTAGACTGTCGAGTTTCTGGAGGGCAAGTCCAAGTTAAGTCAGAGTCAGAGTCAAGTCTCTGAAGCACTAGTCAAGTCTCTGATGTGTGATTCCAAGTGGAGTCTTGAGTCTAT